AATTATATAATTCGGAACTTTTAAACTTGCACAATTTAGGAACCATGAAATTTTCGAATTCTCAAATTAAAAAATTTTGGTATCGAGTTACATACAAATTTAAGAACACACATCGATGTTGATATGTAAATTTACATATGTGATCGTTCAAAAATAAACTTCAAATATTTAATAATTCAGAAGTAATTCAGTAATCCAAACTAGAAATTTTAAAACCACAATTCGAAGTATCGAAGCACTCACCATTTTGTAAATGAAAATACCCTTTACCATCCCAAACGTGTAATTGCACACAGTCGAATCCCGAATGTTCAGCGGTCCCCACATTCCGTAGTTCTGCGCTAGCCATTAGAATTACTACATCGAATAATTGAACATCGAACGAATTCAATGTTCGAATAGCCGAAACGTTTCAAGAATACGGCTTTAATTACGTCGGTTTTTAATTACACTAATTGTTTTCGAACAGAATTGTATCGGTTAATTCGAGAAGTATCATCAGAGTACAAGCTCCACGTGCAGCATCTCCTTTGTCGTCTTAGAAAACCTTTCTGATGCTTGGAGGAAGCCCAACCAAATGACATCAGGGGCTCCGTTTCATTATGTCGAGGACCTGAAAGCCCAGCTGAGTCAGTGGCTATATCCTTGGTGTAAAGGGAATTCCATTATTTTCTTTCTTCTGCCTCTTTTTTTCCGCCTCTCCTTACTGTCCTTGCAGATATTTACTGAACGACGCAATGACTTCCATTGTTTTATGTATTTCGAGCCATGCTCTTACCTTCCGCAGAACGTAATATCTCGACAATTAAGCCGTAAAATTAATCAACCACAATTTACTGCATTTTGTGAGGACCTAATATTCGCATTTAGACTTTGTTTGAAAGATATCAAGGTGTACGTCTGAATTTTTTTATACAAGGCAGCTGAATGTTGTTTATAAATTAACTTGGTATGGTCAAGACACTATTTTACTTTACTGTTTGAGGAATATTAGTCGTTTGGAGAGAGATTAATAAGAAGTGTTTTCATGCAACTCGACAGTTCAGTTACTGTAGCCAGACCAAGAGTTGGCGCGTAGGTCGACAGGAAGTGAAAGAAGCTACTTATATAGGGAATTTTTAGAGAAGGAACGGTGCAATTTGGGAATTTTTAGAAGTTTGGAATTTGGGGATTTGGGGATTTGTGCAGAAGGGAATATTGGGCATTTGGGAATTTAGGAAATTTGAGAATTTACAAATGTTGAATTTGGGGATTTAGGAACTTGGGATTTGTACCCATAGGAATTTTGGGAATTTTGGGAACTTTGGGAATTTTGAGAATTTTGGGAATTTTGAGAATTTTAGGAATTTGGAAATTTTGGGAATTTGGAAATTTTGGGAACTTTGGGAATTTTGAGAATTTTGGAAATTTTGGGAATTTGGAAATTGGGAAATTAGGAAATGGGGAAATAGAGAAAGTAGGAAATAGGAAATTGTGAAATTGAGAAATTAGGAAATTAGGAAGTTGGGAAATTGGGAAACTAGGAAATTAGGAAATTAGGGAATGAAGAAATTGGGAATTTGGAAATTGGAAAGGAAGAAATTGGGAAATAGGAAATTACGAAATTGAGAAATTGGGAAATGGGGAAATTGGGAAATAGAGAAAGTAGGAAATAGGAAATTGTGAAATTGTGAAATTGGGGAATTGAGAAATTGGGAAATTAAGAAGTTGGGAAATTGGGAAATTAGGAAATTAAGAAGTTGGGAAATTAGGAAATTGGGAAATTAAGAAATTAGGAAATTAGGGAATGAAGAAATTGGGAATTTGGAAATTGGAAATGAAGAAATTGGAAAATAGGAAATTACGAAATTGGGAAATTAGGAAATGGGAAAATGGGGAAATGGGGAAATTGGGAAATAGAGAAAGTAGGAAATAGGAAATAGGAAATTGTGAAATTGGGGAATTGAGAAATTGGGAAATTAAGAAGTTGGGAAATTGGGAAATTGGGAAATTAGGAAGTTGAGAAGTTGGGAAGTTGGGAAATCAGGAAATTGAGAAATTGGAAATATGGAAATAAAAGAATTTAACAATTTGAGAATTTGCTAATTTGAGAACTTAAAAAAATAGTGAATCTAGGTGTCCATTTATCTGTCTTAACCAATTAAGACCATCTCCTTCCAAGTACCTAGCTCATCCTACGCGCCAACTCCTGGTTTATCTCCACTATGAACTCCAATAAGCAAAAACTGAACACCGTCTTTGACTCTCTGCATCGTTACGTCAACTGGTTCTTGAGGCATTCGCGTCAAGGTTGTTCATACTGATATTAGCAAGGGCTTCTGGATGTAAACCTTGTTCAACAGGATAGGTACTCGTGTAATCCACTATTTAACTCAATTGGGTCGTCATTCAAAAGAGTCGTTTTATTATTGCGTATGTAATGAGAAACAAATGGCGGTCTGGCTGGGCTAATGATGTTTAATGGATATCAGAGGCTGTGGAATCTAGAGATGCAGGAATTGTTTGAACGTTTGGTTTTTTTGGAGGGAAGGAAATTAATTTAGGAATTTGGGAATTTTGAGAGGGAATTAAAATTTAGTAGAGTGATTTGTGGGATGGGAGTTGAAATTTGGAAGTTTAATGATTTATGGACGTGAGAGTCAAAATTTGATAGTCTGATGATTTGTTGGGATGTGAATTGAAGTTTAGTACTTTGATTTGTAGGGATGGGTATTGAAGTACTTTGGTGATTTGTAGCGATGGAAGTTGAAAGGTGATTTGTTTTTCGGATGTGAAGTTCTGTAGTTCGTTGATTTTTTCTTGATTTCAAAACTTGAAATTTAGTGACTTGATAACTTTGTAGTAGAAGTTGTTTGGTAGTTTGGTGATTTGTAGTGATGGGAGTTTTTGGTAGTTTGATGATTTGTACAAATGGGATTTGAAGTTTAATAATTTCATCTGAGATATGAAGTTTAGCTAGTGATGTACATTCAAACAAATACAAATTTAAAATTCTTGCAATCTTTCGACCATCATCTTCGATACTTCTTCAAGGATTTTCATGCTTCTTCAAGAGTGATCGGTTTTTTAAACCACATTTACGACTTGCCCCTACAACCTACGAAACTGAAGCTCTATGTTGATACGACTCTGCTTTGAACACGAGAACCGAATTCTTTCTCAGTCGGGTTAACATAGTTGCATTCTCCGTTTTACGATATTTCATTGTTCGAAGTTGAAACCGGCTGCGACGAAGGATACACAAGGTATTATGTCGTTGCATCCCGGGATTTATGACATTGCTCTTCTCTGGAGATGCTCTAAATATCATTAAAGTTTCATTAAAATTAGAGGGGGAAACGTTTCGCATGGCTCCCTTGAGAATACTGTTTCTTATCAGTAGACCCTTTAAATCAACTTTAATACTATGCTCTCCAGTTAGCGTTGCCTAAAATATACGCTGCTTTAAATTCCATGAAACTCCGCCGTTAGTTGCACTCCGATGATAATGCGTCTCTCTGTTTACTGTTAAGTTGAACCGCTTTTGTCGTTCGGCATCGCGGCGAATAATTTTCCTATGAAAATTCCATTCTAATTGCTCTTTTACGAGCTGTGTTTCGAATGCTGTGTCATATCGTGCGGAACTGCCGTTAAAGTCACGGGAATTTATTTGTGAATGAAATTTAACGTTATTCGAGTGATAGGTTGACGCCATTTTGCTTGCAGTACAAATTACTTTAAAAATCTGACTATTTTATTAAATCTGTTATTTTTAAACAAGGAAGTGAACCTCCATGAGATAATTTGTATTTAATATTGTAACTGAATATTTTTGTAGACGTCGGATACATGTATGCGGGTGTATGTATTCTCAGCAATTGTGTTCTCAGTGGGTCGAAAGTTTGCTGCTTAGGGGTATACATTACTCCTCGAAACTCTCGAATGTGCTTAATTACTCGATATTTGAGGAGGCATCCCTTCGCTACGAGCTTCTGAGGTCGGCTTTATGCTTGCGTGCTGCTGTTACGTAAAGCCGTTGAATTTCCGTAAGAAAGCACGGATGCCTACCTAATGTTGCTGAACTAATATCGTTGAGGACTAATTAGTAGCATCGTGACATTGTTTCACTTTGTTTCGTACGTCTTCTTCTAACAAAAATTGAATAATTCTATTAAAAGGTAGTACAGCACATTAGATTGCAGTTACACATTATATCACATGCTATAAGAAAAACGATACTTTGAACGGTATCTTGTTTCAGCCGCCACGTAAATAAACGCCATGTAATGGGACTCCTTTGTATACGTACAATAGATACACTTGTACGTCTACATATGATCAGGTATACATGTGTGTCTGCATATGATTAGATACACATGTGCATATGCATATGAAAGATGTAGATGTATGTATACTTATGAATAGATACATATGAACGTCTACATATGAACAGTTATACATGTATGTCTACATATGATCAGACATATATGATTGTATTTATATGATTAGCTACATATACAATATGTATATCTATGAAAGATATACGTGTTTATACACATATGAATAAATACACATGTACGTCTACATATGATGAGGTATACATGTATGTCTGCATATGATTAGATACACATGTGCATATGCATATGAAAGATGTAGATGTATGTATACTTATGAATAGATACATATGAACGTCTACATATGAACAGTTATACATGTATGTCTACATATGATCAGACATATATAATTGTATTTATATGATTAGCTACATATGTCTGTATATTTATGAAAAATATACGTGTATATACACATATTTATAAATACACATGCACGTCTACATATGAATAAATACACACGTTAGTCTACATATGAAAAGACACATGTAGGTCTACATTGTGATCAGACATGTGTGTATGTTTATGAAAGATACACATGTGCAGAGAGATATGAATGTACACATATGAAAGATATGCATGTATAAATATTTAACATGTGGTTTTAACAAATTTGTATTTATGTTTCAGGGTCGATGTAACCGGGATAAGCCCCCCTGCAAATATTTCCATCCACCGCAACACCTGAAGGACCAGCTTTTGATAAACGGGCGCAATCATTTGGCGCTAAAGAATGCGTTAATGCAACAAATGGGTCTCACACCGGCCCAGCCACTTGTACCTGGCCAGGTACCAACAGTGGTATGTCGAAACTTTAACGTTTGTTGCACCACGTCTTCTGCTGTTCACACATTCACACATTTTCTTTGATCACAATCGAGAAATCTTGATTTTGTCTGTGTTAGTTAACGATTACCATTAGATATTACCCTTTTTGGTAGGTAACGCTGTTGTGAATAAACGACGATGCAACTTTTATCGTGTGATTATTATGTGGACTATTGGATTTTAATTCGAATTTGTCGATTTTTAACGTTGAGTCGTGTTTATTCGTCAGCGTTCTTTATTTGTGGGCATTGCACCGAGAGATAAAACCTCAAAAAATAAATTTTAGCACGCCGCATGTGTTTGGTCAGTGTCACCTCCTGCTTCTTCGATTTATTCATAATTTTTGATGGACAGTCAATGTAACAGAGGAAAAAAAAAGAAACGGTAGTTTATTCTGCATTATCAGAACGGGAAACGTACGGTCGTTTTGTTGGTTCGTCAAAATTATCTCTCGATCACGGTGTTAGGTCGATGCACGTGAATTGTCGGATTCGTATCAGATTTTATATTGATAACAATACAAATCTTGTGTACACTGCAATTTTTTAACAAATCCGTCGTTGCAATCTATTTTTTATCTGCTATTGAACTATATGTGGATTAGAATGACTTTTCCATAAAAATAAAAATTTTTATTAAAAATTTTAAGTAGTTGAAATAATAATAGTCATTGTTGCTAAATTCGTGGTTATTAATGTGAGTAAAAAATTCACTTATATAATGTAATTAAATAATTCAATTGAGTAATGTATTTAACTGATTAAAGTAAATAATTTACTTAAATAATACAACTAAATAATTCACTGAAATAATATAATTAAGTCGTTCAATTAAGTAATTTAATTGATTAATTAATTTAAATAATCAGAAAAAATAAATTCACTTAAATGATGCAGTTAAGCATTTCCACAAACCAATTCACTTAAATAATGTATTTAAATGATTCTATTAGATAATTCAGTTGAATCATGCAATCAAATAATTCAATTGAATAATTCATTTAAATAATGCAATTAAATAATTTGTTTAAATAATCTTTGTAGACAGCACACTTAAATAATGCAGTTAATTAGTTCAACAAAGTAATTCATTTAAGTAATGCAATTAAATAATTCAACTAAATAATTCACTGGAAAGCAATTCACTGAAATAATATAATTAAGTCGTTCAATTAAGTAATTCAATTGATTAATTAATTTAAATAATCAGAAAAAATAAATTCACTTAAATGATGCAGTTAAGCATTTCGACTAACCAATTCACTTAAATAATGTATTTAAATGATTCTATTAGATAATTCAGTTGAATCATGCAATCAAATAATTCAATTGAATAATTCATTTAAATAATGCAATTAAATAATTTGTTTAAATAATTCATTTAGACAGCACACTTAAATAATTCAATTAAATAATCCAATTAAATAATTCAACTCAATAATACAATTAAATCCAGCTTAATAATCCAATTAAATAATTCAACTTAATAACACAATTAAATAATTCAACGAAATAATTAACAATTTGTTAATAAAATAACTGGTAATTAAAATAAAGTGATAGTAATCGATTGTCAGAATCCGATATATCACATGCATCCACCAAATACCCAAATTCACTCGGCGAATCCACGAAACAAATTACGTTTTCTCGTAAAGAAAATACGTAAATTAGAATCTCGACAAATAAAAAAGTCTCTCTTTCGCGTGCTGGCTCGCGGGTGCGTCCAAATATAAAAAGATCGAGAATTTTTGTTCCCTTTTTGTTTATTTCTTTTGGCGACTCTCTATATACGTGTACAGAGCGTCTCGTTTAAAAACCCTCTCGAATATCTCACAAATTATTGACGATAACGACTCATATTTCGAATGGAAATAAAATAGAAACCGAAATTGAATATCGATGTTCATATGTTTTTGTAAAAACTGAAGACACTTTTTAATGAAACACGTTTTTAGTACATCGATCGATACAGTTCTAAAAATTTATCCAGCAAATTAGTTTAAAAGATATTTTAAATTCAGTATTACGCATATTCGATTCCAGGTTAGCTGATACCCATGAAATCGATCTCTTTGTGCTTCTTTGAATGTTTGTAAACGAGCATTACCACGTAAATTGTTCGCCAACGACCAATTATTGCCACAATAGCTCTTCAACAAAGTGTAACGAGCGGCCATTTTGAAACTCGCGTAAATCAAAATGGCGCGATGCATTTCAAGCATCTCTCAAATTACTAATTTATACGTAATTTTAAAATTTTGTTCGAAAGACAATGAGAAATTTAAGAGAGAAAATAAACAATGAAAATTTAAAAGACAATTTTTTATTTAATTCTTATTAAAATTAATACTTTGCAATGTTCGATAATTGGTGTAAAAGATACATTCCATTAAAACAAAGTTAACTTCAAGCGTACAAAAAAGAAAATACACACATAGAAAATATAATATAAACATAGAGAATATGTATTCATCGATAATTTTATTTTTATTCGAAATGTTTTTGTATACCGTGAATAATTTCGTGGATGATATTCGAGAATTGACGGAAATGGGACGCCCTGTATAGAAAAGAACATTGCACAATCATCAACGCCCACTCGCCTTTTATTATTTCATGACATATATTCATAGTCGTTGCTACGTGATATCGAACCCTATACTACTCGTATGACTGCCTGTCTGTCCCCTATGTTTGCCGCTGTGGCTCTCGTGGTTGTGGTTGATTGTTGGTGTGTTCTCCAATTACGTCATTGGTGAACAAGGAGGCACCGGCACCTCCGGCACCACACCATCACCTTCAACAGCAAATCCAGCAGCAACTTCTCGCTACCCACGCCTTTATGGTAACTCCTGGTTTTGGTTGGCTTCCACTAATTTTTTTAGTTTAAACGAAAATCTTTTTTAAATTGCCACGATACGGCCATGACGAACGATTTTATTATTATTAAAGTTTAATGGAAAATTAAATCGAATGGTACATTCTGTATCGATCATTTATGCGGTTTAGGTACCTGGATATTTAAGAGGTAATGATATTGTAGATTTATAGAGTTGTGTGTTGGCGAAAGCATTTCGGTGATATTTTGTGGTGTGGATATTACTAGTATTACTTGTGGAGTATTGTTATGAGAGGGTTATTTAGGATATGTAGGATCAGATAACTGCGAGATTTATTGGCATGCTTAATATCACGCGTTGAATTACTATATGTGGAATTACCACGCGTCGAATTACTATGGATCGAATTACTGCGCGCTGAGAGCACCACGCATCGAATTACTATGGATCGAATTACCACGCGCTGGGACTACCACGCATCGAATTACTATGGATCGAATTACTACGCGTCGAGACTACCACGCACCGAATTACCACGCGTCGAATTACTATGGATCGAATTACCGCGCGCTGAGACTACCACGCATGGAATTACCACGCGTTAAATTACCACGCGTTGACACTCTCACGAATCGAATTACCACGCGTTGACACTCTCACGAATCGAATTACCACGCGGAATTACTATGGATCGAATTACTACGCGTCGAGACTACCACGCACCGAATTACCACGCGTCGAATTACTATGGATCGAATTACCGCGCGTTGAATTACTATGGGTCGAATTACCACGCGCTGAGATTACCACACATGGAATTACCACGCGTTGACACACTCACGCACCGAATTACCACGCGTTAAATTACCACGCGTTGACACTCTCACGCATCGAATTACCACGCGTTAAATTATAACGCGTCGAATTACCACGCATCGAATTACCACGCGTCGAATTACCACGCATCGAATTGCCATGCGTCGAGACTACCACGCATCGAATTACTGCGCGTCAAATTACCACGCGTTGACACTCTCACGCATCGAATTACCACGCGTTGAATTATCACGCGTCGATTTACCACACGCCGAATTATTATGTGCCAAGTTCCCACGCGTTGAGTTGCTATATGTCGAGTTACCTCGCGTCGAATTACCACGCGTCGCATTTCCACGTGTTGAACTTCCATGCGTTGATTACTATGCGTCGAATTATCACGCATTGACACAACCTTGCGTTAAATTACCACGCGTCGGACTACCTTGCATCGAATTACCACGCATCAAACCACCAAGCGTCGAGTTACCTCACCTGAAATGATCGTACTTGAATTGATATTTATAGTTGATAGCACTTTTAAAGAACAAATACTTGTTCTTTTTCTTCGAAAATGTTCGTCATGGCCGTATGTGTTAGATTGCCTGTAAAAATAGTGAGCGTTTGTATGAAAGCTTCGATTTGATTTAAAAGAGTGTCGCACACGTAAATTAAGAAGATGCGATTTGCATGCTTCGCGCGATATTTTGGTTTCCTTCGTCGAAAGGGAAACAAGGATTTAAAGATATTTGTTAGTACAGTTTTCCTTTCGATGAAAATAGCATGAGTTATTTCGCGGTCTGTTTGGACTACATCGCGTTTCCCTAGCTTTTGTCGAAACCTGAAGATACACTCGATTTGTTTGCTGAAAATTATTATCAAAATATTAATATTACATATTGAAAATTAAAATAAAGCAAATTATATTGTATATAGTATATGAAATTTCACAAACGATGGCATATGCAGTTATTTAAAAGTGAACCGTGCAAATTGAACAGGCTGTATGTGTTTTCTTGGAAATTGCTTTTTTTCGTATACTTTTAACATGAAATTTTTACAGAAAATTTATTGATAATAATTTGCTATAAAAAGCAGTTAAAATGGCTTAGGATGTAACTTAAATTTCTACTTTTTTATTATTACAAATAAATAGTATCTCATTTGTTCAGTAATATGATATTAATACAAGTGAAATGTGTGTCGGCCATTTTGGTTAATTCACACATTGGCCAATAGTGTCGCATATTAAAATTCACTATGATTAAATAATAAATGAAAATGTTCATAAACATTTTGTAATATATTACAATCATAATTTTGTTTAAAATGTTCACTTTTATAAACTACAAATTTTGACATAACTAATTTACATTAATAAGCAACGAGTTTTTATGTATTTCGTTAATGAATAACATTTTTATGTATGTAAAGACATTTTTCTACAGCACGTACAGCTTCTGCTCCTTTCTATTCCTTGTTTACTGCGATATGCTAAATACATTGAGAAGAGCTCCGTGAGAAATGATTTGCATTAAAAGTTTGGGAATAGCCATTGAAATTCTTGCGAACATTAATCTCGCAGAAGTTTCAAGTACACTCGGGTGCAATCTAGACTTCCTTCGAATAAGACCGAATTTGTAAACTTGAAAATTTTGAAGTTCCCAAATTATCTAATGCTTAAATCTTTGAACTTCTGAGTCATTCTGAAACTCGTAGATTTTTTTTTCAAATTTCTAAGTTTTTAAGTTTGTGGATTTTTCCATTTTTGGATTTTTGGATTTCTGGATTTCTCGGTTTCTGGACTTCTGGATTTCTGGATTTTTGGATTTCTGGATTTCTGGATTTTTGGATTTCTGGATTTCTGGATTTCTGGATTT